GAACATTTACATTAGATATTTGAACATGCAATTAGATAAACTGTTCTCAGTCATGTTGTCATTTAAAATCCGGACATCATTGGGAATGTTACTGTTTTAGTTATGCAAACAAAAACTCATTTTATTTGTTGTTTGTTGATTTTAAATGTAAAACTTGGTGAAATGATTTGTGTCAGTACTTTTTGAACATTTCCAGCACATTTTAACAATACCGTGATAATACTGATAACCCTGATCATTTTGGTCACTATAATCGTGATAAGAAATGTTCATAGATCATTTTGGTCACTATAATCCGTGATAAGAAATTTTCATACCGTTACATCCCTTAACCCCCAGCAGCGTGAACGGTTCGATCTCCAAATGGGTCGTGTCCCTGAATAAAACACATAGCTCAGCCTGTATTTTTATATTGTTTATTTATGAGAAATCTATTTTTGGGTCTATATGGATGCTATATATAGTGGCTCTAAACAGTATCTGGACTCTTTGGATATACAAGTGTCCAAATATAATGTTAGAAAGGCACCAATATTATTTTTGGCCAATACTGATAATAAATCAATAAATAATTATTATCATGATATTGCTGTTAATAAAATTCTTTAATATTTATCTAAAAAATAAAAATAAAACTCTAAAAATAAAATAATTTTAAATGAAACAAGTGAATTCAGGCATCACCGCATTATAATGTACAATATGAAAAACGCACATTCCCACTGGGATTTGCTAATTCACATTTAACAGCATTAATAATTAAATTATTAGCGTTATTAGTTAAAGATTTAAGTGAACAATACACGATGATAAAGGTAATCTAAATATTGGAATAAAAATATGGGAGTGCATGTAATTAAATATCCAGTATCAACAACTACATCTACATTAAAATGTAGCTACATTTTAACATTAAAAAAAAAAAAATAATACAATTATTAATTAAAATTCTGTAATATTGACGTAATGAAAATGGTACAGATATACAAGTTTCCCTACAGTTTTAGAGTCATTACATTAAATAACAAAACAAGACACAAGGTAACATTTACTTAAATAATATTACACTTTTTTTAGATTTATTTTTGGCGTTTTTGTCTTTATTGTGATAGGACTACATTTTAGACAGGAAGCGAAGTGGGAGAGAGAGAGAGAGAGAGATGGGGGACGGGATCGGGAAAGGTCTGCAAGTCCGGAGTCAAAATTGGGATGCCCGATGCGCAACAGCGCTATATGTCGGCATGCTGCCCTCGAGGCTATTGGTGCCAACTTACACTTTTTTTTTTAAGCTAAACACTTTGCAGATGTGTTTTCTATTGCAATGACAATCACAAATTAGTGGTATAAGTGTTCAAATGCTTTTAGGGCCTGAATTATGAGGCTTAAATTAAGTACTCACTTGGTGATCATATGCTCATATAAAGTAATGTTACAGTCATTTTCCTCATTTACATCCAAATACTCCACCAGACTCTCATGAAGGAAGTCCTTAAACGTTCTACAGGGAAAAGTGGGTGGTAAGAACACAATGAAAAGACATACATAAGACAGTCCCGAAACTGCATACTGGACTCTTCATTCAAATGTAATTTTCAAATATTGATTGGCTTCAAACGCACCTGCATCCCTGAGACAATTCCTCAATGTGTTTGTTCTTCACAGCTGGCTGTCCGTTCTTCACAATGATGTAGGGTCTACCAGGATCACACAGAATGCAATTCAAATGTGTCTGTGCAACATACGACAACTAACAACATTGGTTTTAAAACGGTTTATATTCCAAATGGATTTTAATTATGTGATATAAAAACAACTATTAGTACCTGCACAAACGGCCCCCATCAGAAGAAATATATACACATCGGTCGGTCAAGTTGGTTGAAATGGACACAAACTCGTTTATAAAACTTGCTCTACGCATCAGTCTGAAGGTGTAGACCAACTTCTGATGGTCTCTGATCACTCCAAGAATGTTACCTAGAAAGAAACACGTTTTATTTCCTGAGCAAAAAAATTATTACTTTCATATATTTTTACCATGATTTTACCAAAACACCCACTACATTTTCATTCAATGTAACAATAGGTCATACACCATAAAAAATGTTGTCAGGCATAATTTAGAACAAGAATCATTACATGACTTTAAAAGACTATTTAACATTAAAATACTATTTATGGATCACAAAAACTAATTTATTGTAATTTATATCTTTATCAATCTTTCCTTCAAACCACCAAGTTTTGACCAAGAAGTTTTTAATCATTTAAAATATAATATAATTTATAATATAATTCAGTACAGGTCAGAATAAGCATGATGTGTTCCATTTTTACATAATATATCAGTTATACTGAATCTCGATTGATCATTATATTAAAGGGGTCATATGATGCGATTTCAATTTTTCCT